TATTTTAACAGTTTATAGAACAGAAGATAAACTTTAAAAAAATTTTTATCGCAACCCTTGCGAATTCATCTCTGTGGTTGCGAATCTATTTAAAGACCGATCATCATTTTTTCATATGAAATTTAATATGCGACGATCATTTTAAAATCAGCCAATCAGATTAAAGCCCGCTATGCTGGATGTATATATATGGGAAATCGATCATCACACAGATTGATCTGACTCATCAGTCAATTAGTTACGCAATTGATTTAACAAGATATCTGTCACACCAGAATGCAAAGATCGTGATTTACTTCATATAAGAAAAAATGACATCACTGCTTTTTACATATCAGGTGATAAGCGTGAAGATTCTTTATTAATAAGCGATGAAAAAATAAATACAAGTGCAGGACTAGCTTGATAGGCTCTATACTACGATTGCGAACTTAAATTTATTGCTTGAAGTGTTGCAGGTAAGAAAATATTCCAACTTATCTTGAGAACAGAACTTCGCTAATTCAGAATCATAAAGGAGTTGATTCCTATTTTCGCAGTATCATGAGCCATGTAATTCATAATTCTCATGTTTTCCATCACAAATAGGACATAGTGAGCTCCACGGCTGAGGTGATGCAAAATTATAATTATCAATCTCTCTAAAACTATTTCAGAATTTCAAGTATGGGAAGTGCTTTAAGATGGATTTGATAATTAATTTTGGATCAGGTCTGGCTTCGAAAGTGGTAGGCTTGAAATCAGAGGCTTGGCCAGAGGCACTAAAGTAAGGTTCTGCTAACATATCTATCACAGCTTCTGATAGTTGCCATGGCTCATTTTCAGTTTGTTTTTTATATCTTTTGTATAATTTGAAACGAATCTTATCCATCAAAACACTTAGTAATCCACTTAATTTGGCATACCAATCTAAATATTTGGGGGTTAGTATTTTATCAGACTCAGTCATTTTTCCTTTTTATATGACTGCAAACAATTTAAATCCCTTTTCTCATATAGACCTATTCATTTGAAAAAAAAAGATTAAAATTCCCAAACGATCCCAGAGGGATTAGACTATGCAACTATCTCAATTTCACACTGTTCACATTTAATAAAGTAAAATCCGGTATTATACATACCTTCTATTTCTTCATCATCATGACCTAATTTGCATAATGGGCAGTTGTAGTCCTCGCATGTTGTCTCATCAGTAATCCCATAATAGTTGAAATTTTTAATACTACATTCTTTATATAGATTAGGATATTGATCCAATATCTTGTTATAAAAATAGGAATGATCGGGCTTAGATTGGGATGCAGATGATACACTTGCCGATGTATCGTTCCCTGAGGGAACAGTTTTCAAAGTCACATGATACTGATGATCACTAATATATTTTTTTACTTGATCTATAACATTTTGGATTTGTGCATTAGTTAGTTTTGAAATCTCAGTTATGCTATATGAGATTAACTTGATTTTGTCTATCCCAACTCCATTTTTTCCAAATAATGTGAGGTGTTTTCTAGCCCTAAGAGTTTTCTTACGCAAGTTATCTTGTATGATTTTAGCAGGGAGAAATGGTTTCATTTCCTTGTAAATCTTTAATCTTGCTGTTTTATCTTTGATTCTACCATCAGCAGTAAGAGCATCTATCCTGCTCTCGAATTCAAGTAAATAATTATACCAGTCTAAGATTTCTTGCTGACCAGACTTTATTGCTGTATCGAATAGATAGGACAAGTGTTGGGCAGAACCCAAAATCATATTCTCTGATCCATTGCAAGAAAAATTAGTATTGGTAGAGCTGATATTGTCATCACTGGATATGGGTGAACAGGTGTCAAAGGTACCACACAGCTCTTGTATTAGACCCTGTTCTATGATTTGATTTTTATCTAGCGATTCCTGCTCATCATCTTGCTCCATGGATACTTTGAAATCTGGCTTAATTGAAGTCATATGACTCTGATCGTTCCCTGAGGGAATGGTTTTTTCGAACTCTTTTGAAATTTCTAAACTCATCCGATGTATATCCTCATATGAATTTTCAGGATAGAAAAGAAACTGACACTGAAGATTCTGAGATCCACATCTGAAGAACATGTGATCCTCATCTTGAAAGGAGCAATGAGCAAGGAATCACGCAAGTGCAAGCTTTTCTCAAAATATTAATCTCTCCATATTTATCAGACAAATACAAGTATATCGGTCTTCCATAATTAGTCAGAGGGAATTAGTGCGACGGATTTTGTCAATCTAGATAGGAAAATCTATGTATCGGGTGCACAGTATATCTCGCAAGCCTATCCCACATCGCCTAGAGTTCTCGCTTGCACTGATTTCGAGTAGTTTCAAGAAAAAAAATATTCTGAACTCATGCAGTCCAAATAAACATAAATAATAAATATCCAATATGCAGAATATTGAATTACTAAGAGAACTAAATTCCAGACTAGTCATAGAAGTCAGAGAGTTAAGAGATCAACTTTCTGAGATTGTGACTAAGAACGTCCAGCTTAAGGCTGAGAATGCAGAGCTTAGGAAGAAGAATATTGAGATCTGTGATCTTAAAAACAAGCTCTCAGTGTCTGATGCTGAAATAGCTGAACTTAAACGCAAGAATAACGAGTTTTTAAGAGCAAATAGAATATAACGAGAAGCATGATGCTGAAAATGCCAAACTTAAGGCTGAGAATGTTGAGTTTAGAGATAGACTTACGAAAGTGGAACAGAAGCAAACGTTAAATGATAATACTTCTAACAACAACCAATCTAACTTCAATTCTAATACTTCATTATCAAGAGAACTGATACCAGAAGTTTCATCTATCAGCGCCTCTGGCCAAGCTCAAGAGTCTCTTTCAATATCTAGTCCCTTTAAGACCCCGTCTGAAGAAGAAAGGCCTCAAGTTCTCGACTCAGTTATTCAGCCATATAATAGATCGCACAAGAAAAAAGGAATGGATGAACTCAAGCACGAATTATTCAATTCCCTTTCAGAATTAGATCACTCATCTCCTATAAACCATAATAATATGACTGAAGTTTTTGAGACGGCCCGTCTTAGAAAAGTTACCTATGACAGCATTGATGAAGCCTCACAACATCTAGCTCAGTTATGTGACAAAACCATCGATGCCAAAGATAGGGCAAATCGAGCTAATCAGGAAGAAATTTTATGTTGGTGCCTCTACTGGAAGGATTTCAGAGATCAGCTTGACAGGATTATCAGAAGCAATGGTGGTAAATTTGGTGAAAAGAAGGCGAAAAGCATGCTTTATGACACTATCACAGAACAGCTTTCTATTCTTCGCAAGAAAAGATCACAAGAATTGGGGCTAAAAGTTAGGGTTATATCACAGGATAGCTTGCGTAAGAAAACTCAAAGAGCTGAAAAAAACTATAAATTATTCGAAAAAGTGGGTCTAGATAAGATCAAGTATATTAATTCATATAGCGCAAATTCTATTTCAGAGCTTACTAATACACAATTTCAAGAGATCATAAATTATGGTATATCTTTGGAAAAGTTGTCTCCGGAAGCTAATTATGTGACTGAAATTTCTGAGACGGCCTGTTCCAAAAAAATCTTGCCTGAAGTAAATGCACCATCTGCACTTCAAATCACTTCAGATAAGGCAGATGATAATAATCTCACAGATCTTAAGAAGGAAGATTTCTGTGGTGAGGTGGTGATCGCAAGTGTACCATCCGCATCTTCTCGAACGCTGATTCTTAGAACTAATTCAAATAAAATAGAATGTCTTTACCAATATGCTGTTAAACATGGCCTCGATCCTGAGAAATTTTTGATCGTTACGGAGGCTAATAAGAAAAGATGAGCTGGCGAATCCTTCCACGGTATCTTAGAGGTTAATATGCGATTTTATTGTGAAGCAATAGAGGAGAAGGAAGATTCTAGAAAATATCGTAAATTTCTAACAGATCGCGAAAGAATGATCGGTGAAGAGCTATTGCATTGTGATATTCTAAAGTACCAGTCAAGCACTGCATGGCTTGATAATCTTATGAAAGAATGGGAAAAAACCTATACCCAATTTATACAAGTTTTCAGTCAGGCTTTGTATACTCAGCAAAAAAATAATATATACTCAAATTTTATGACCTCTGGAGAGTGTAGACCACTTGACCGTCAGAATATCTTATTCTAACATTTTAATCCGAGACCCTAAGGGAAATTTTAAACTCACATAGGGAGAGATTGTCAGCTCTGAAAGTCTATTAGCATATACAGAGAAACTAGCAAAGTTTAAAATAAAAATAACCTTTGATCTTTTTTAGTCTTGCTAACCCGCTCGCCAGCATTGTCATGCAAAACATTACCCAGAAACCTCTCACCGGCTGATCATGCCTGATAGATCCACAAGAAGACCATGTTCTCACTGAATTTTCCTTCCCGACACTGATGGTAGGAATGATATCACGTCTGCTGAACCGCTAGTCTGTTCACTTCTTTTTTTCGAATTAACGGCTCGTATACGTGTCTTCTCATAGTACCAGGACATAGTTGCTTGATTGCGGTAATCGACTATACTTGATCATATGCTGATTTTTGACCCATTGGCCGACAACAGATCATAATATATCTTCAGGAAATAATGTAGGATGACATTGTTCGCCAGCTGATCGATCGGAACTTATCAGTTATAAATAGCTTAAAATCGCAGTATTATCTGGCATGGCAGATGGTGAGAAAAAGCAGAAGAATATAGGATCTGGTCTGCCTGTCTAGAAGATAGTCTAGCCTAATATTGTTAGGTCAGCTAACCTGCAAAATCTGAAAAAAATGGAAAAGTATTTGAGAGGATTGCTGTGTCTAGACCTATTACATTTTAAATCATCGAGAAACAGGAGAAAAAATAATCCGTCGTGAACTCCAGGAGAATGGTATGCTTTGGTAAAAAGCAAACTCCGGCCATAGTAGGCAGTGTTGGTAAAAAAGTGCTCGAATATGGCCTGGATATAGCTTTCCTGCTGATGATATTCTGAAGACATAAGATAGAGGCTAGATTGGTAGTAGCCTAAAGTAAAAATTCTATTTTCTTTCCTTATATATTTCTACCTTAGAATACTACCAAATAATGCCCTATTTTTTTCTCTAGTAGTCTGGCCCAAATATCAAGAATAGACGAGAGAACCCTTATATTATCTTTCTATCTGGCAGACACTTGCGAAGTGCTTAACGGCTGGGCTGATCAAATCAAGTCTTCTTGTAGATTAGCCATATCTGGTCGTGTTCAGCAGATTTCACTGGCTTTGGTGAACAGGCGATTTATAGGAAAGAAAATAGAAATTTCCCGGTGACAATCTTTCTCAGGAATGATGTGATCTGATTATCTCTCCAGACCAGTTTTATGGAATATTGCTAGTAACAGGGCAGGCAAAATAACACTCAGAGGACGCATTATTACGAAGAAAAAAGGCAGTCGAATTCGGTGAGAATCCAGATGTCTTCATGACCATCACTGAAAAAAACAGGCTTGATTTTATTGCATTCCGGGACTGATACAAATGTGTGGTTGGGCAGAAGAGACGAAAGAATTGGTTAGGCTATATTTTTCATGTATTTCCTAAACATTTCCACCAGTAGATAAATATAAAGGTAAAATTATAATAAGGAAAATGCCAAGAAAAATTGCTTTTACGTTGACCGCCTCCTAAGGGCATAGCTCTAGAACTTGAGTACTATGGCCAAAAATTATCATGATGTCTCGCAAAAGTCAAAGAGAAGAATTTTACTTGTTAATGGGGTTTATGGGCATGGTGCAAAAGAGATCGAGAAACGTGAGAGTAAAAACAGGGTATAGATTTGGTAGTATTCCAAGGTAAAAATATATAAGGAAAGAAAATCAAAATTTTTACTTTAGGATACTACTGTTAATAGGTAGGAAAGAGGTCAGGAAGACGCAGAATCATAATATGTTAGCTCGATTGGAGGAGCACTACTGAATTATTCACATATAGGTAGTATAGATTCTCGTGATATTTTGGCTGAAGACGCTCAGACACCAGACAGTATAGGGATATATTACGAAGAATATCCTTAGCGTGGGAAAGAGTTTGAGAAGTATAGAAGCAAGAATGAGGGTAATTATACCTTGACGTCCTACCAAATAATGCCCTATTTTTCCTCTAGTAGTCTGGTCCAAATAACGAGAATAGACAAGAGAACCCTTGCATTGTCTTTCTATCTGGCTAGCAGGCGCTTGCTTCGTAAAAGTATGGATCACCTTTTTTTATATCCTGTCTGAGGCTTTCATATAGTTACTACGGAGAGATCGTAATCATTATATAAAATATTGGGAGAACTCTTCATCTGCAGAATACGAAGTCTAGCCTCTTGCGGGATAGCTTGTCTGTTAAACGTAACAATATAGAGATAATGTTTAGCTGAACAGTATACAGAATATAAGCACCTGAACTAGTATTATTAATCGACTTAGTTGGTCCTAAGAGACAGTTTCGCGTTTACCAGCTTCCTCAGCATTTGCTCCTATACTAGATAGGTAGGATTATTGCATCATCATCATTCCAGCTTGATCATGTATACAAGATATGTTCCACCTCTAAGTCTAACCTCTTCACTATATTGATCGTATATCTGGGTCTTGAAATATCTGCTATTATTTCATGAGAATTAAAAGGATGTCGTCCCATACAAAACAATGGCAAGCACAATTATTAATGACTTTATACAAGAAAAGAACATTACTCTGAAATGGATTCTATGGAATTGAAAACATATTCAACGAATCTTCTCTCAAAAATTTCTGATGGTAAAACTCGTGCTAAAGCCAGAAAGAGTTTGAAGAAACACAGTTTTAATCCTGATCAAGTATCGGCTCTAATTCCTGATCAGAGAAAAAGTGAAGAACTAGAAATAATTAGAAAGGAAGCGCAAAATGCCATGGAATCAGAAAATGGGATCACCAGGATAAGAGCTCTAACATTATTCGAGATGCTCTGTAAGCCAGTTGAGACGCTTGAATCAGCAGAAATGCATATAAGATTTTATTGTAAGAGAACTTGTTCAAAAGAAAACTGTAAACATATTGAGTATCTAACTACCTATGTGGTAAATTCATATCTAGAAGCGATCAGACAAAAAATGGAGTCTACTATAGAAGAAGCAATAATAGCTAATTAAAATGTGATTCTTTTTCCTCAGTTAGAGTATATTTTTTACACCTATGAGGTGAATACCGATCAAAAACGAATTAGATTTTTTTCTATAAATAAGTAGATAATAATTACAACTAGTTTGGCATGACTATCACAAAGAGTACTTTAAAAGCCCAAAAAGCTAAAACTAATAATTTTGTTTCGATTTTAGAATCATTTCTAAAAAAGTATAATTTGTCAGCCAACTCTACCTTAAAACAATTAAGCGAACATGCCACTGAACTTGATGCTTTACTTCCAGACTGAAAGGCCTGTAAGTGTGTGAAAGAGACTCTTGCCAGAGGCACTGATAACAGACGCCTATTTAGTAAAGAGCAGATAGAAGCTCTCTTACCAGATAAGAGAAAAAGTAACGATAAACATACTATAGAAGAAAGGGTGCTAAGGCCAGCAATTTTGTAGACATTATCGCTAATCATTGGGCATTGGGTCCAAAAAGTAATGATGAAAATGAAATCGTTGTCAGTGTCTCGCGTCAGTCAACATTCCGTGTGAAGTTAGCAGAAGGTGGTGTAGATCCTGTAATTATTGAAGAATTTGCCAAAGATAAGGGCCTTATTCAAGATTCTAATAAAATTCAGAAAAAACGAACTAAAAAGCAATTGGCTAATTCAGGTAAAATCCGAATTCTAAAACACTTATCATCAGTGAGGGTACTTAAAAGGATTCAGAATATGGATGTTTCTAAAGTCCCAACTAAAGAAGATCTTGTGGATGTGATGGTAATGTTGAGTATGAGACCTGCAGAAGTGAGATCTCTTCAGATAAATCACTATGAAGTTGACTCATCCAATCCTTTAGCATGGTATGAAGATGGTTATTCTTGGTATTGCACAGGCTATTTAAAGAGTAGAGGAGAAAAGAAGGAGAATCCTGATCCTTGACCATTTCTTTCTATTGAGAAAAATCCAGAACGCGCAAGGAAATTGCTCACCTGGATTCAAGAGGCAATTAAGGCAGGAAAGTTGCGAGATCCTATCTATACTGAAAGTGGAACACATAATGCTTGGCTATTTAATGAATTCTTAAAGCAAAAGCCTTATAAGTCTATCCCAAAGGATTTAAGAGAATATGGAGTTAAACATGCTTTTAGAGCCCACGGTGGTAAAAAATCAACGCTTGAAAATCTTAAATGCCTTTCAAAAATTGCATTAAGGCAAAAATCTGACCGCCTTAATGCAGGTGATAATTACGCTATAGGCGATACAGAATCAGAAGACTTTGGCCCTAAATCTGATTCTGAAAATACATCAAGCCCGGTACACCAGACTTTATCGTCTCAGCCTAAAAATGATGATTATAACCCTTTCAAAGAACAGATAGCAGAAATTGATTTGATGTTAGCTGATCCCCTGAAATAACAACCATGCTCAAAAGGATTTGAGGAATGCAGGAGCAAGAATAAGTGTAAAGAAAAGGATTGAGAAGGCTGAAAACCTTGAGAAGATATACAAAAGATGCTATATATATTATTCCTTGTCGGTATCTTAGGATAGGGCTCTGAATTAGATCTGCAAGAAAATTTAAGTACCAAGACTAGAGTATTATAACTCATCATGCCTAGACCTACATAAAACATTTACAGCATATCGCTGGTAGGACTGGCCTTAGAAAGTTGTCCATAGAAAAAAATACGATATGATCTATATAAAACTAATACACTGCATATAAACATTCAAAATAGAAAAAAATCACATATTTTTGGATGAACCAAGTTCACTGAAATTTTTTATTAAGTGGCTATTCGCCTAGGAAGTAGAGAGATACTATAATAGAATTTGGGAAATTAGTTTCTCTTGATCCTGCCTTCGGATCTGATTATCAAGCTAAAGAAAGAATGGTTTATATAGCATCTGATTCTGAACCAAATTTTAGACAATTTTTTTCAAGTCTGTAAGGGTCTGATTAGGAAGAAAGGTAGGGGAAATTGTCATCAGATACCAGAAAAAAAAAATCTTTCTCTACTTTATTCGCGAATCGCCACTTAATATATGCGAAAAATAAATACAAGATCAGGACGTAACCTGTGATACATGAAATCTATGCTGATGACTGCGGATACTCATTCCTTAATATATTTCTTCGTCCTTGCTCTCTTACTATCTAGAGCGTCATCAACCTCTACCCTATCTTTCAACAAACCTACGGAATATGCCCACTAAATATTTGTATTTACAACTTGAAGCTGATTGCTTTGCTAAAAAGAAAATAAAATTATTACAAATATAAATTTGTTAAAATATCAACCCTTTTAAAGAAAGTATATATTTTACCATCTCTTTCATTAGAAGTTTTTGTGTATTTCTTTCTTTTTTTTATAAAAGAAAAAATTTAGTAAAGCAAATAAAATATATAATTAAATTTTAATAACAAGTATATTAATACTCCCTCTAGAATCTCATTGATCTCAAACCTATTTATCAATATCATGCTCATCTCCTAAAATATTTATATATAAAATATTTAAAAATATATTGTAAAAATTAAAAATTTTATTAAAATATAAATATAAAATTCTTTATATTTATTAGAAGCATTTCAAAAACATGTATTAAATATTTTATAATATTCTTAAGCTAGTTTGCCTTTCTTTTTTCTAGTATCTCCTAATCTTAACAACTTTAAGTTCTAAATAAAAAAGAAAAAAAAATTATTTATATATAATATATTTTTGCTTTATTACTATTTTTATCATTTTACTTACATCATATTTAACAATTAATGATGAAAATTTTCTCTAATATTAAATACTAGAAAAATTTGTATACATTTATTATTAATATTTTGGATGATATTTGCTCAAAATTTCTTCTTTGAGTTATTCCAAATTTTATGATAATTCTAAAGTAATTTTACAAATTAAAAATAATTAATATAATATATTAAAATAATTTATATTAAAATATTTGCGATATTTTTATCTCTTTGCTTTTTTATAAAAATATCTATCACCTCTTTTAACCACTTAACTTATGGTAAATGATTTTTTAAAGCTAAAGTAGAAGCAGAAGCAGACAGAATTTGATGATAAAGCAGGAGTTGATGAAGACATTATAAATAAAAATAAATTTTATTAAAATAAAAAAATAAAAACAAAAACTTTTTTTATATATTTGAATTATAATTATGTATAAGAGTATTAAATTTCTAATATGTTAACATTTATTTTTAATATTATTTATTTAAAATTTAATTTACAAAAAAATTCAAATTTCTAATACATCAGCATTTATTATCAATATTATTTATTTGAAATTTAATTTACGAAAAATTCAAATTTTTAACATGTCAATATTTATTGTTAATATTTATTTATTTGAAATTTAATATAATTAAATTAGATAATATATTCTATAATACTTTTTAAATACTTTTACTTTTTATATTTAAAGAATTGATTTATTTTTAAAATAAAATATTACTAATAAATTATTTTTAGTTATATTGAAAACAGTAATAAATTTTAAATCTTTATAAATTATTCTGATATTATTAAATATTAATATAAATTAATAAAAATTTTATTATACAGATATACCGTATTCTTCTGAAAATAAGCAACATATTTTTGTTATAGTGTTGCTTATTTTCGGATAGTTTATGAATCTTCGAAGAAAAATGCAAAATTAAAAATTTGAAATTTGATCAACACAAATCCTGTGATTATAAATCATCTATTTATCTTAACACGAAATACGCGAACTTGTTTTAAACTTGCTTTACTATGTCAAAGTGCAACATAAATTGTATACAAAATGCCCAAAATAAAACAAACCGTTAAACATAAGGTTAGACAAGTTGTTAA